TTTGTTTTATTAATATTCATTTTATTATCTCTAAAAATAGCCGTAAAGAGGATCGCCCAAAATGTTTGGATTTACAAACCTTAACAATTAATGTGCCATTACCAATAGAAGCGCCGTCTACAACACTTGTCAACCGTCCAATTGCAGATGCAATTACAAATGCAATAGTAAAAGAGTCAATAAAGGAACCACCAACATTATTAAAACCAAGAAATTTTAATAATTTAATGGTTAAAGAAATGTCTTATCCCTTATCATTAGTTCCGGGTCAATTTTGTGAAAAGTATCGGAAATACACATCTACTGAATTACGGTAATTATATTCATATTATGAATATACAAATACATAAAAACTCATATAAATGTATTTTTATAAATTTTACAGTTGCTATCCTATAAATACAGTGCTGGATAATCCACATTCATTACAAAATTATATGAAAGATTTGAATGCTTCGGAAATAGATACGGAAATAGAAAATAAGCACAAATCTACTAAAAGTGAAAACAATAATCAACAATTTGAACAAAATCAAAGAGCAGAAACACATGATAGTTCTTTACGAAGTAGTATTGAAGATAACGTGAAAAAAGATATGCCAATAGAATATGTAAGCACTTCCGAATCCTCTTCAAGTGAGGAGAGCTCCAGCGAATCGGTAAGAATTAGTATAAATATTTCTTGCGTTTATATTAACCTTATTGTTTTATTATCTCTAGGATTCTGATTCCGAGTGTTCGTCGTCATCCTCATCTTCTGAAAGTGAAACAAATCTCTCTTCATGCAATGTTTGTCAACGTACTCAGCATCGAAACCTTAAAGATTTACCAGAACGATTTATAAAGTGTTACACTTGCCGCCGGAAAGGTATGTATATTACACTAACTGTTTAGAATAATTTATAAGCTGTGTACGAATAACAAAAATAATATATTCTAAAATTTAGAAAATCTTTAATTTATGTTTTATATTTCTCATATAATAATTTCTACTGCTTGATTTACCATGATTAGATTTAAATTTTGTCACTGTCATCCCTTTTTCTATTCAAAGATAGATAAATAAATTGATTTCAAAAAAATTTGAATTATTTTATATATAATGCCAACACTTAACAAACTTTACTTGAGTTGTCACTATAGCATAAAGTCGTGTGGATTCATGCTGTAACAAGAGCGTGTGTTGGCATTTTATATTTATATCTACATCTGAACAGATCTATCCAAAATTTAGGTTAATTAAATAAACCGAAACATTCCAAATGTCAAATTTTTGAGGATCATTCCAAATTCCAAATTTGAGAATCATTCCAAATTCCAAATTTGAGAATCATTCTTAAAAGCTAACATAAGGTTTATTTATTCCTCTCATTTTATTAAATATTTTACATAGTTAAAAAGATTATCGCTCTAATATTTATAACGTTGCAATGTTTATAACGTTCTTTACTTTAAATACGGTACTACATTGAGTCCTATTGATCTGTGATGCCGTCCCATGGAATTTGTAGGTTTCTTTACCTCCAGTTAGACTAGTTTCAATTGTTCCCACGCAGACTTTCATATTTGTCCTACCCCTCTTCAATGTCAACCTACACTTAGATCCATCCTAACACATGTATTCGTATTGTAATTCTGTTTGTGTTTCCCTGCTATGTAGATCTTTGCGGATTATAATCCACAACTATTGAGATTGCCATATATATGTCTAATTAAAACTAATCTGTTGGGATTTGGATTTATAAATTATATAAACTATTAGGTCCAAAACAATAAGTTCTAGTATTTGTTAAAGTATGTACTGATGGTTAAACACAATTTGTATAAAAAAACTGATTTATTAATTATTTTAATAAAATGATACAAATAATAGACTATTAGCAACTGAATTAAGATGTGAATTGAACTGATATAAAAATTGTGGTTAATACATTGTTAATAAATTATTTGAGGGATATTAGTTTTTGCATTTCTTTTAAAAACTCAAAATCATTCCATCATTTCTCACTCATGACATGGTTAGATTCATTTATTGTTAATTAATTTCAATTTCTATTAATCATATTTATATTAAAAAAAATGTTAATTGTTAATTTAAGTTCATCCGAGCTGTGTTGAAATGCCCCATCGAATGATGTTAAGAGTGCGTAATTATAACTGGCAATGCAACGAATGCAAGTGTTGTGTTAAATGCAAGCGCAAGCAGGATGAAAATAAAATGCTGTATTGTGAGCAATGCGATAGAGGATATCATATATACTGTATAAATATAAAATCAGTTCCCGATTGTAAGTAAAAAAAATGTGTTAATGATATTTAATTGATAAATGAATGTATTTTAATATATTAAGGTCGTTGGAGCTGTGAACGTTGCAGTATATGTATGCGATGTGGTGCTACTAAACCTGAAGGATTGCCGCAAGTTCAGCAACAAACTTTAACATCTCCAAACGGAGAAAAAGTCAAACAAGTCAAACACAAAAAAGTGAAATGGATTAATGAGTATCGTATAGACCATATAACCAAATTAAGAGAACACTGTTCGATGCTTTGTGTGCCATGTGGACGTGCAAAAACAGTGAAGCGAACAGTACCTGCATTACCGAATATAAATAATAATTTTAATAATAGTAGCAACACTATTAATGCTAGTGGTGTGAATAGTAATATAAATGCAAGTGCTACAAATGCTGTTCAAACATCAACGGTGCAACAAAAACAGCAAATTAAAATTCAACAGTGCAACAACACTCAAATGTCGCCACCTCCTACTCCAGCTCCATCATCTGTTATTAATACAGCAGCAACAACACCGGTTACACCAGTAATAAAAACAAATTCGAATAACAATTCAAGTGGAGGAACGGTAATACCACCGGTAGTTGCCTGAGTGGGGGTAATACGGTATTGTCCAAAACGGAGTATTACAGATTTATAGTAGTAACTGAATACGCAATCTACATATGCAAATGGTTAAAACTTAGTGCTAAATATTAGTCTATATGTGTGTAAAAACTGAAACGTATATTATAATTTATTTTGTTTTATTTTTTTTTTAATCACACCATTGTGTGATTTTATATTTGTACTTTTATTTCTTTTAAAAAATAAATGCGTTATTTAATACTAACTAAATTTGTGATTCAATCAAAAAGTATTCAATTATGAAGCAAAAATTTCGCATTTTTTTAAATATATAATAGGCTACACATATACTTACAAGTTAAGTTTAATAAAATGAAAATCTTTTTGTATTATTTTTTTATAATAATTTAGTTTTTTATTTAAGTTAAATAATTAATTATTTAAGAAATTACTTTTACTATTTTTATGAAGCTAATTAGCTTAATTTAAAACAGCAGATCAAATAAAGCATAAAATTAAATTGAAAGAACAAATTGTACATGTAAAATATTATATTAGTATATAGGAATTCAATATAGTTTAATACTATTCAATATTAATTTATTAACTTAAATGTAAGTATGTAATAAAATATTAGAATTTTATAATAGAGAAAGGTAAATTATCGAACTCGTTAAAACTAAATAAAATTGATAAAAAATTTTATCATGTTAAATGCCTTCTTTGTAATATAATCATAATATTAAATAGTTAATGTACATAACAGTGTTTAATTCAGATTACATAAAATAAATAAAAGTACTAAAAAGATGAAACACCCGAAAGAGACTAAAATTAAAATTTTATATATTAAATATAATAAAATTTAGTTTTATTTTAGCTTTAAGCTATAATTAATTTAACATATTACATATTTTTTTGTATTATTTATATATAACATTTAAATTTAATAAAATTTAGATATAGTAAGTTTCATTTACTTAAATTAGTGATTTAAGAATATTTTATACTTATTGTAATATATAGCAGTATCAAATATATTGCTCAAAACATATGAAATATATATATAGGTAAACATTAAATTAAAAACTGTCTTAAAATTTGAATTTGGTTTATTTTTACTATTACAGTACTTGTATAAAGCGGGCATAAAACGGTTTATTTCTTATTTATATTTAGTTATGAGACTATAAATTTAGGTTTACTTTTAAAATTTACCAAATATTAATAAATCTGTATTTATATTTAAAAGATTTTATGTATAGTAATGTTTCGAATTATATACTCCCGCCACAGCAACTGTGCTGTTACAATATCTTAACAATTAGTTCAAATTAGTTATTAAATGCTTTATAAATGCAATAGTTTTATTATATACATATGTAAGGTATTTTTCAAAAACTGATCTACAAAAATATTGTAGTTTATGTAAAGTTATGAGCATTATGTTAAATTTTTTTTTTTGTATAGTTGTTTATATTGGGTAAAATATCTGAAATTATTAATTATAATATAATGCCTTAAACATGTAAGTAACTAAAAAATATAAACAAAATGATTTGTTTTATAGTTTTAAAAACTAAGTCTTATTAGTATGGCACATGCAATCAAACGGCTTTCCACATAATATTCGTATTTATAATAAATGATGTGAATTTAATACGATAATTTATTCATAGGTTTGCATAACAAAATTTTATAAATTTACATTATATGTTGTAAACAGTTTAAAAAAAAACTAATTTATTTTTTCAATCCATATATTACTAAAGTTTATGTAATATGCATGTTTGATCATAAGCAAAATTATTTTTGTACAATAATTTAATTTAAAATATAAAAATATCGTAAAAAAATGTGAAATTTTATTTAAACATTACAAATTTCTATTAATCTTAAATAAATATTAAAAAGATTAGTTTGAAAGTGTGATATCCAGTCATAATCGCATTTGATAGCAGAAGATTATAAACAGAAACAGAAGATTATAAACCTCACACTTAATTAGTGCATAGAAATTATTATAACAAATGGAAATGATAACTATTATGGTTAAAATAATTCCATTTGAATAATAATAACTTCAGAAATCTAAGATAGTATATTTCTGCCCATTTTACCAGTTTTTTGGCAAATTATTTTGACTGTCAGTAAGCAATAATAACATCTATGTGTTGATATTTACGCTTAATAAAAATACAAGCATCTATTTTATCTTAGTAGTTCTACAATAACATTGAATCTTTTTACAAGTTTCTGAATTTATATTTATCTTCATTTACGCTATAATACATATTACAAAGGTAGAAATAAACATCATTATTAAAACAATAAAATTAAAACAGGCTAGACTTTCACTAAAAGCTTATTAAAATTTAAATCTATTAATAAAAATTAAACATTTTAAAATTTTAAGATTGAAATTCTTCACAGAATATTTGGTTAAATTTAAAGGATAAAAGTTAATATAATAATAGATCTCTACCATTTCTTTAGCATGTTAAACTCATAGTCAAATGCTAAGTTGTTGGATTGTTAAAAAGATATCTCGTGAATGCGTATTTTTTTAATTTGACCGGAGTTTACTAAAACGTTAAAAACCATTTCAAAAAAAATTACATGTAAATAAACTGGCAACAGCTGACTTGGCAATCCAATTTATATATGCTAAATATTGACATATCATGCCAATTAATACAATTTACCATATTAAATAAGATCGTGAACACCCTAGTACTACAATTGTAACAATTTATTACTGATTTGTAGCAGCATCCTATGATCTGCTTTTTGAGTTCCTGCTGGAAGGAACAGCCGGAACTTGGTCGCTTAAATTCAATTTTGATGAAATTCCATGTGTTTCACACGTAATGTATTAGCACGCAAAATATTACTTATTTATCAACAATTTTGTAAAGTCCAGCATTGAAACTAATTTTTCACCAAGTCTAACATAATGTTTTATTTTATTATATATAATTTCATACATATATGTATATATTTTTTACATATACTTATTTTTTTGCATATATATATGTATGTATATCCAGAATGTAAATTAAAACAAAATGAAAATTAGTTAAAATCATACATATAATTTATTTTTTCGAATACATTATAATACTTACATATATATTTTAATAATTACTCAAGATCAAAACATTTAAACATAAATTCTTAATATAATTTTTTTATGTGCATGAAATATATTCTTAAATAAATAGCAGACGCATTCAGTGTTGGGGAATATACTCGTAATTACAGTCTGCCTAATATTTTATATAACCAGAGATTTGTATACATAATACTTATTGCTATAATAATGTTTACTCATCTCATCTTAACATTTGCTCAAGGTAACAATAAAAATCTTCTATATATGTATATATAAAATATATGGTCACAAAATAATCTTATCTACTTCTTATTAAACTGTATAGTTGTTTGCAGTTTTTACTGTGCTTCGTCTTTATGGAACAACATTTTTTCCAATTGTTCAAGTAAGTCAAAACCATTTTCCCAAATAACCAAGAGCGGAGGATGTCTCAGCTGGTCTTTGTGTTTTCGAAATTTCTTTTCCAAAGCAAAGCCCTCTCGAGCGCAAGCGATGTCAGTACTGCCAAGTTTAGTGATTGGACAGAAATCATTACTTCCATCGCCTACGTAAATTAAGTTGTCATAACGTATGTTAGAGTGAAGATCTTGCTTTGTGAGGAAGCGTTCTAGCACTTGCTTTTTACATAAATTTGGTGCACTCACATGACAGGTTGTTTGGTGATGATACGGCTTGATGCCTAGTAAGCCGTGTTCATTAAAAACTGCCGGGTTAGTGAATACTTGTAGAAAGTGCTCCGATAAATTATGTGCCTTGAGCCATTCGTCAATAAAAATACTATTAGAGTCACTTATGATGATTAAATCAAAATTGTTTTGCTGCTTCAAACGTTTTATTAGTCGCACAAATCCTGGCACTTCCGGTATAGCACGCACTGCGTCACAAATTTTATATTTCGTAACTTTTTCCTCGTGCAGCATATGAAATATTTTCTGCATATATTGTGTCCATCCAACTGTTTCTATTAACTTGTTCACATCGGAAGTTAAGAGATTCTGGGGTAGCAGATCTCGAACTACAGTGTCCGTATTCTGTGCAACTATTGTGCAATCGAAATCAAAAGCAATTAAATACTTCTTGGTAGTTAATGGTATCGTTTGTTGTGCCATATTTTCGTTGTGTAAAATTAAATAAAATCTGAATTCGCAGCTTTAATTCCGACGTGTTCAACAAGTTCTCCACTAATGATGCTCGTTCTAAATGCAAATACAAATGCCTGCAGCTATTTTTGTTTGCTCTTTGTTTTCCAATTGGAAGAATTGTTTGTTGTTATTTTATCTTTGTTTTCTTTTGCATTAGAATCAAGGTCATCATATGGAAAATTAAGTTTTTATGGTATATAACTGGAGGAACGTTAATTAGATGGAAACAGGGAGAAAGACATTTTTTATAAAAATGTGTAGTTTGGGCACTATGTAGATTTCCATACCCTACACACTAAACTGTATGATAACATATTATATATAATATAATCGAGTTTTACGAATCGATATAACTATGTCCGACTGTAAAATATTTATTGACAATTTACTCGCTTCGTTAATATAATTTACCCGCTACTGCCCAGAACCATTTTTGCCGTGGTAATTGTGGATTATTTTACGACATAGATTTGAGTTTATGTTTTCATGTATTCAATATTAATGCATGAACACAAATAGGATAAGAGTTTGAAAAGACAAAAGTTTAAACAGTTTTATGTGGTATTTAAATAAAATACTATACAAAATAAACTTATGCTGAAAACACAATTAACGCTATACGATGCGATAGTGGTTGCAGTACTAACAAAGGTACATGCCCAATTGCTTTTATGCAACACACAGTACTGTCAAATTTTTAAGTGTGTCGTAACTGTAAGCAGAAGAAATATTGCGCTAAACAATAGTAGAGTGAATGTTATATGAAGAGCATACGGTTCTTTATTTTGTTGTATGTTGTGGTTGATATATGTTAGAATGAATGTTATATGAAGAGAATACGATGCTTTATTTTGGTAACTCAATTTAAAATAAAAATGAAAATGGATAGTAGACTTAAATGGATAGTATCTTAAAAATGTTCTAAATTTCCAAATTCACAACGTCATATATATGACATGGTTATTTTATTAGAATATTCTATTAATTGCTACTTGTTTTCGGGCTGTAATCCGAGTCTATTAAATTTGTGTTATTAGGAAATTTACAATATAAATTCAAAAACTATACTTAAGCATTGAATAACCAGATTATAATAATATAAATTCTATCGATCGTCTATCCATTGGTGTGATAAATTACGCTGTTGTTTTTGGGAAGCTCACCGAAAGTTAATTATGTTTTAAGTAATTATTTGTTATTAGTGCATACACAAATTGGTAATTATAAGCTAAATTAAGGGTATATATTTAAATAATATATAGATAACATTTAATATTTTATTTTTGTTCATATGAATTGTATTTGAAGGACCAATTGCAGAACACCGTGTGATTGCTATGAATTACTTTTGTAGAATATATGTATAATGTAATAAATAACATAATGTAATAAATATTAATAGATAATCAATTTGTTTTCAAAAAAAAAAAAAAAACCCGATACCAGCAAATATCTCTGTCGAAATTTGAATATGCTACACAGATTATACTTGTACATTTTATTTCAAGTAATATTTGTGTTGATGTATGAATCAGCTGTTTTGGTTTGAATTTAAATTTTTGTATTGGTTTTTTCCGCAGCACTAGTGTTCTCACCAGATTTTACAGAAAGCTGTTCCATGAAAATCTGTGTAAAGAGTGTAATTTGGCACTTTATTTGTGTTACGCTCTCAGTTTGTACTTTACTTGTGATTAACTAGAGTTTTACTACGAGTAGCTAGTGGAACAGACCTATTATATTATAAAACTCTGTGAATAGTTTCTATGTTTAATTATAATATTATTACTAATATCATATGTTTTTGCTCTTCTCTGTGATAATCTAAATATTAACTGTTAAAACGTATTACAAATAAAAAAAAATTATGTGAATACATTTTCAATTTACATTTTTGCATTATAACAGATTAGTAGTATATTATATATGGTCAGAATGAATGTTTAAAATTTTATTAAGAATATTAATTTTTAAATATTCTCAACACACTGTCGTTTGTATATTTCTTTCATATCAGCTGTCACTTCGCAGCTAACTTCAATACAAACAGCAGCGCTCATTCATGTGCGGTTGTTCGAATAGTTTGGGTGTAGGAACGATTTGCGCGTAATTGTTTTTGTTTTTGCTGTTGAGCGTATAACGCGTAAACAAATAGAATTTACAATGGAAACAAATGAAAAACAACAATCTTGTTCTGTAGCAAATTCTACAACAAGAAAATCAAATGCTTCTTTCAATTTAAAAAGTTATAAAGTGCAAGGAACGTTGTTACGTGAGGATTTTGATGGTGGTCCCGTTAGTTTGGATGAAATAACAAACGGTTTATTTTTGGGTAAGTGTTTACGAAGAGACTCATAATCATTTTATATATTATAAGTATTAATATATATTTATGTACATTTAAAAAATAGTTTCAAAATGTATGAAATAATTTATATGAATGTTCAATGTTCTATAACTGTTCATGTTGTAAATTGCTTTTTTTCCACTAACTTTGTATTATATATTTGTATAGGTAACTTATCTGCAGCAACAAATATGGAAACTTTGAAGTCCTTCAAAATAAAACATATTTTAACATTGGACACTGTGCCTCTACCAAAGCATATATTGGAAGCAACGTTCCTTACTACAAAGTTTATACAAAGTAAGTTGTATGTATAAGTAATACCAACATATAATCAATCAATTTATATATGTTGACTTTATATTATTAAACATGATAATACTATTATTTATACAAGTCAATTCAAACGTGTATATAAACCAAACACTAA